GTAACGATGGCTATCCACTCAGATCCAACCAAGGACTTTTATCTGATACAGTTAGAAGTTCTTGATCCAAATAGTGTAACCTACCTCTAGTCGTGACGCCACTATATGCTATAAGTTATCAAAAATTATGAAGAATAGGAAAAATACGATGCCAAACCATCGATTTTGTTTTTACACCAATGCTCTACCGTATTAGCCTTGTTGTCCCACAAGTCACACATGCCTGTCACACAGGCCTGTCACACAGCAGTGGCGCCAGAAACGAAGCCTCGGTCGACGGTCCGGAATAAAGTAATCCCTGGTACGGTTCATGGAGAGAGTTTTGGATAGGAATTTTTTTTTCGTCTGTTCGTCGGACGACGGTAGGGGAGGGGTGCTTCCCTGCCCCCACCCCAATGGTGCCACCATTTTTGTCCCACAATGAACATTAAAGGAAAAAAGGAAAAAGATATTTCAATACAGTATGTGTTTAATTAGGCCTACCTGTTTTTATTGTGTTTCCTTCGTTGGGTTCACTGTGTACGCTAGAGTTTTCGCATTCAATATCGTTTGTAGATTGCGTCGAGTAACCACTTATGCTCGACGACATGTTATGAAGCATGTGTGTCTTCAGAACATCGGGTGCCCCAACGAGCACGCGTTTTCGTTTCTTTGGCAGCTTCAGTCGCGCCTGTGCGTGGGAGTAATACAGAGCAAAGTTGTTCACAATAACCGGTACAGGTAGCGCGATCATAAGAACTCCGAACACACCTGTGATGGAGCCGATGAATTTTCCAATCGGTGTCAACGGGCATACATCACCATAGCCGACCGTTGTCATGGTAACGACTGCCCACCAAAATCCTACGGGTATGTTACTTATACGCTGACATCCACTTTCGTCTGCATTGACATCAATTTTTTCAGCATAATACAAAAGGCTTCCAAATGTTAGTACACCGATTCCTAAAAACATACTAAGCAACATGAGCTCCTTAGCACTGGAGCGAATTGTCTGCAACAAAATTTGCAACCCGCTAAAATGTCTTGTCAGCTTGAAAACGCGGAATATTCGGACAATGCGCAAGAACCCAAAGAATTCACCCAACGAACCTTGATTACTCGAGTTAGCAAAGAGAACAATACAGTCGACTAAAAATGGAATACAAGCAATAAAATCAATGATATGAAACGCGTTTACGAAAAATTTCTTTTTACTTGGACAGAAGATAAAGCGGATTGTCAACTCAAACACGAACCACAGGACGCATAATCCTTCCAAATAGAATAGGGACTTCACCGGTTTAGTGGAATCGTCATTAGTATACACCGTCTCCAGACAGAATGTAGCGATGGATAGTATAACAGCCAGTATAGAAACAATTGCAAAAACCTGTGGATTATAAAAATATACTTAGTAGAATAATATGCATTTATTTACTTCATAATTATTGTAAAGCGCATTAAAATGGAAAACGCAATGGGATGATGCGAGCGCCCAACGGATCGTTTAATCGTGGAGGCTAGTTTGTTTCCTCCGCTCAGACAAACTGTCAACTTGCTGGCACCAACAATCGGTAGGCGTCGCGTAATCAAGCCCATAGAGAGGGGATGAAATCGTCGAGCGATGGTCGTCGGCCTACGTCCGTTGGCCGACTCATGCGTCCGGTGGTGAAGATTTATCAATGCTGCTGTGCTTGTTAACAAATGTTCAAATTTTATGTAAACTTTGCATTTATATATATATATATATATATATATATATAGAAAACGTACAATTCGTCGGGGAGAAAAAAAAATTATATGTATTTTTGACATATATGTAAACTCTAAAGTCCATTAAATAGGTCTAAGCCTTTCAAACCCCTAAATTGTCAAAATTTTCGGCGGCTTCGCCCCCTGGACCCTTTTCATAACATTTTAATCGAAGCTCGACCACGCCCACTTTGCTTTCATCGGGGAAATTTGACTCCTCGTCGGTGGCATCGGCAACCCGTCGGGGACCTCGTCCCCCCCCCCCTCGTCGGGCAAACCCTGGCGCCACCCCTGTAGGAAAATTATAAATCATTCATAATGTGGTTTCAATACGATCTAGACTTTAGACAAACAAATGACAAGGGTGGCCATGGCTTGATTTAGAGGGGAGCCGTGCGGGTCGCGGCACCTCTTTTTGGAAAGTAAAAACAAAAGAAAAAAAAATAAAGAAAGAAAAACATATAATTGATCGCCTAAAACGCCGCAGAGGTTATTTTCGGGCGTCTAAAAAAGAAGAAATTCGCGGGGCCAAACATGTTGTCTCGATCGACCCCACTTTCGCCCCTCCCCCTTCGGGCATACCTTGATCCGCCCCTGGTGGCACAAGTGGTGGGAGGTAGTGGGGCGACCAGTGAGATCTTCCTCTCGCCCCAGTCGGGTAAAATACAATTCGTTGGAAAGAAAATAAAATTCTATGTATTTTACAGATTGTTAGATTCTAAAATAGTTTAATCCTTTTAAAAAATGAAATTGTCATAGCTTCCAGTTTCCCTGGATCCCATCCGTTACGAGCGACCCCTGACCACCACGCCCACTTACTCTCCAGTCGGAGACATTGGCACAGTCGTCGGATAAAATCATGACTTCACCACTGAAAAGTGAACAACTTCCAACTCGAACCCCAGAACATTCGATTAGAGGAGTTAGCCTTTTGCCAGCACATGTTTCCACACGTGTACGTGCCCAATGATTGTGAAATCAAACGGTGCTATTATATTGAACGGATTAAAGGTGTTCATACACTTTTTAAATCATCTGCTACAACGCCTTGTCAGTCAAAAGCCGATATCAAGGCATATCAAGTAATTTAAAACACCTGTTTTCTCCTAAATTACATTTGTTACTTCACCGATCGTTTCAAAACGCAATTTATTTTACAAACAATAGAAATCATAGCGTCGATGTTATGAGGAAATCGAGGGTCCTGTATAAGATCCTGTTAATCACTGAACATTCACGAGTCTGAAAAAAAAAAGTTCTTTCTTCTGCAGCTGAAGAGCAATGATACCCATGCGATCGATAACGACCACATGGGTATCAGAGCTTTTTGTGGTTAATCTTTATATTATCCATAAACAATTCTACTCTACATGCCTACCGCCTTAAAGCATACAGGTTACCTGTTGTTGTAGGCGTTAGACGATAAAAGCAACACTTTCGATTGCCCACTCAAATCCACTAAAGAATTAAAAAATATAAACAGCGATGAATGATGAACTGTATACATTATGCATAATGTTAACATCTCTAAAACGTCATAGTTCATCGTAAAATCAGCGAACTTTCCCTGGCTATCATTGTGGAACTTGCATTTTTCTGCTAGGGATGC